CAGCAAAGGTGTTTCAGTGAAATAGCAGCCACAGCCAAGAAGCAAACAGGAGGTGATCTGAGGTGATCATAACCACCCTGTGAGGAAGGAGGGAGAGGCTGGAAAGCAACTTGGGCGGCTGGTACAGAGATGTGAGTGCCTTAACTATCAGATTAGGCATTTGGTGCTCACTAGAACCACTAAAAGTGCTTATCAAGACTGAGTGGTGTGGTAAGATTAGGGACTGGACCTCCAGGAAAGCTCTTCTGAATGTCATTAAGGAGCTATCGGACCTTGGGGCAAGTCTTTTTGCTTTCTGGGCCTCACTTTCCTCCATCTGTGAAATAAGAATGCTAAAAGCACCTACCTCTCAAGGTAGCTGCAAGGGTCATATAGAACATTGGGATGAAGCTGAGCTTGGTGTAAGCAAGCCATAAATATCAGTCCCCTCTCTGCCTCTTGGGTGTGATCAGGCTATTAAGTGGAGGATGGGACAGCAAGAAAGAAGCCCTGTGAAAGCTAAAATATGGAAATCCAAGTTCCCTGGCCAGTCTGGAATCCCCAGGTGGCCTGGAAGCAGGAATACCACTCGGTGGCAGAGTGACCATAGCCTGTCTGCTCCCAGTCATGGCAGGTCTCAGTATGCAGGTCCCTCTGATCCAAGTAGCCCAGTGAGCAGATGGTAAGGTAGGGATAAAAGCCCCTATCCTAGGCTGGCAGTGGTCATATAAGCCCTTAATCTCAGCACTCCAAAGGCAGAGACAAGTAGATCTCTATGAGTTGAAGGCCAGCCTGGTGTACATAGTTAGTTCTGGCCAGCCAGGGATACATAGTGAGACAGACAAGTAAACAAACAAACAAAGCAAGTCTATCCTAACCACCCAACAGATACTCCTGCTGCTGCCCCATGGCAGCAACCTCCCAGGTTAAACCCCTCAGATTATATTCCTTTTTACATACCCAGCTTGGGTTCTCTCTCCCAGGATCTCCATTTTCTTATCTGAAGAGGGCACCTAGCTCAGGAGCTCTTGAAGATCTAAATGCCAGGCTAGGGACATAGCTTGGGGAACACTTATTTACACAAAAATATCAACAGGGGCTCTCAGCGGTTGAGAGTACTGGCAGACCCAGGTTCGATTCCCAGCACCCACATGGCAGCAAACAACTGTCCATAACTCCAGTTCCAGGGGATCTGACACCCTCTTCTGACCTCTGCAGGCATTGCTTGACATGGGTACACTTACATACATAAAGGCAATACACTCATACACATAAAATAAAAATAATTTCTTTAAAAAAGTATCAGCAGAAGAAAGCCTGTTGTGGCAGGCAGATGCCTGCCTCAGACACAAAGCTGCTCTCCAGGCTCAAGCAACATTCCCATTTTCCTTGAGGGAGAGGGATCATTTTAGTCTAGTGAGCATAAGCTTTGGGTCTGACAAACACTTAAATCCCTGTGTCCACTAACTGATGTCTTGGCAAGAGAGGAATGTGTTAACACCCACTGCCTGAGGCAGTTGAGACTGTTGCTTGAGGTATGGACTATGCCATGGGTTTGGTTAGCTCTAGGTTTTGCATTTTTGCACTGGCTTAGTAAATGACACTTGTCTTTTCTCGGGGCATACTTATTGAGCACTTGGTGGCTGCCAGGCTCTATCCCAAGCTCTGAGGATACACTAGAACAAAGCTTTTAGGAAGCTGGCAGCCCATTGGAGGGAGACAGATAAGTAATCTGAGGAACTGGAGCTCTCCAATGGAGGAAGTGCTGTAATAGAGAAGTAGAGGGTGTTGGAGAGCTGGGAAGGTGGTAGGAAAGGGGTGATCAGGAAAGATCTTCTGGAAGAGACTGGCTGTCTTAATAGAAATGTGAATAGGAGTTAACCAGCTTTGGGAAAGGGGCTGCAAATGCTCCAAGCACTTACTGGCTTAGGTTCTTATAGTAGGACTAGAAATGGGACTGGGTGAGAAAAGGTAGTCTTCCTCTGACACTCTTCTAACCCCATGAGAAGGCTGTTTCCTCTGTACTGTGAGCTACAGAGGTGAGTGGATATGAGGCCTGGTGCTGTCTCTTCTCTCAGGATGGCACTGCCTGGGAGATTTCAGCCTTAGTTTTCACCTGTCTCATCTCTGATGCCTTGTAGTCCTGGAGATCACCTGTTCTGCCTTATCTACTCCTGTCCCTTGTGGCTTACCATGTCCCCGTCTTTAGCTATAGTTGTCTAGAGGGTCTGGGACCTGGCCTCTCAGATCAAGAGAGGTCTCAGGGCTACATCCCTGGACAAGTTCCTAACAAGATGTCTGATAAATATTGGGAGAACTAGAGGAGAAGCTTGCCTGCGTGAGCGCTAGTGGAGGGTAGAAGTGAGGGGTAGTAGTGGGTAGTAGGGAGGGAACAGCTCACTACAGTAAATGCCACATTACTTGGTGTCCCTGGGCAGCCACCAAGATGCTGAGTCAAGGACACTGGAGTAGCCAAGTCACATGCCTGGATCTTGTCTCCTGACATTTTCTGTCCTTACTGTCCCTTCTGCAGAGACTAAGAATCTGCTCTGCCTTGAGAAAGGGCTTTGACTCATTTTCAAAGAAGAGTTGACAGTAGTCTCCAGAGGGGAAAAAGAATAAAGAAACTTTGAAAATACAAAAGGAGGTTAAGTGCACTGGCTGCTTTTGCAGAGGACCCAGGTTTAATTCCAAGCACCAACAAGGTGGCTAACAACTGCCTATAACTCCAGTTCCAGGGACTCCAACGCCCTCTTCTGACCTCTGTAGGCACTGCATAAAACAAATGCACTTATATACATGCGGGCAATACATTCATATACTTATAAACTAAAAATAAAACTAGAACATTTTTTAAAACTACAAAATGAAATGTGTTCAACAATGAAAAAGTGGAAAAAATGCAGGGGAGGACTGCAGCCAACTCCCTTGAGTGAAAGTCTCCAGTAGCTGTGACAAGAGGTCAGAGACTTCAGAGAAGCAAGGACACTTGTGTGTGTTGGGGAGGGGGGGTCCAGTCCAGATTCAGTATAAGTTCAGCTAAGTGTCATGCTCAGTGTGTCACCATTAGGGATTCACAGAGCACATGGGGTAGGGGTTGCAAGGACCTGAAATCTTCCCTCCAGCTGAGGACAGCTCTGCTAGGTCAACCAGGCAAGACAGGGGAAGCAGGGCTTCTGGACCCAAGAGAAGAGCCAAAAAGTTCCTAGCAAACAGAGAGGTGGCCTGGGGCAGAAAAGGTTTGCTCACAGTAGGGTGGGGCTTGGGGCTATAAGGAATATCTTCAAGGGTGAAGTGTCTTGAATGGAAGCTAGAATGGAAGCCCAGTCAAGATTATACTGGGAACAGGTACAACGGAAGGTGTCCAGGTATAGTCAATGATGTGAACAAAGGCACAATGAGTCCTTCAGCACTTGGTGAATGTGGGCATCTGATCTTCTTAAACATCTGTTTATTTAGTTAACAGCTTTACTGAGCTATAATCCACATACTACACAGTTCACCCACTTACTGTGTATAACTTACAGATTATATACCAACACTACAGTTATTTACAATGTGATTTTAGAATTAATTTTAGACCATTTTTATCACCCTAAAAGAAACGACACATCTATTAGCAAGTCCCCTCTTCCTATTCCCCCATTTCCCCAGCCTTCTTCAACTAATCTGCTTTCTGTTTCTAATGAATTCTTTTTCAAGTCTGTATATTTCATGAGTACAGAATCCTGTACTATTTAGTTTTATATATGGTTTCTTTTACTTAACATAATGTTTTCTTTCTTTCCCTCTGTTCCCTTGCCCTTCCCTCCCTTACTTTACCTTCCTTTCCCTACCTTTTTGACAATCTTAAGATATAGCCCAGGCTGGCCTCAGACTACAGCCTTCTTCCCTTAGCATAGTATTAGGATTATAGCCATGCACACACACCCCCTACCCTGCTAGTTTAGCGCTTTTCTGGGCTTATCCATGCTGTAATGTGCACCAGGACTCTACCTTTAAAAAAAAATTTTATTGAATTCTTTTGTGTATTTCATACACATTGACTTCATTTTTATCATTGTATTCATAGGGCTGGTGAGAGTAAGGCCCTGGATTCAGTCCTCAGCCTGAAAAAAAAAAATAGCGTTCCTATAGAAATATTATATGTGGCATGCATATGCCACATTTTATCTCCTCATCAGTTAATAAACATTTTCTACTTTGGGGCTACTTGTGAATATGCTGCTGTGAACATTTGTGTAGTTTTGAGTGAAGTTTTCAAGACATTCCATTTTCAATTGAATTTAAGACAGTTGTAAAGGGGGTGTAGGAAAGGTGGTCAAGCAGGTGAATCTGCCCACTCTCAGCCTAGTCTAAGGACTTGAATGAGAATGAAATGGACAGACCAGGACCATGTTCTAGCCTCACTGGGAGCTGAGAAAAGGAGGACTGTGAGGGTCCAGACGTTGCCCCCACCCCAGCTTTTCCCCTCAAGTCTGCATTGTTATATTGGGTCAACAGCTGGTTCAGGGCTGGAACTAGCTTGGGAAGCTGGTATTTTTCCTGTGTCTTGCCAAGGGCCAAAATTAAATGCATAGAGACATGTAAGCTACACAGTGGATCTCAAGGAAAGTCAACAGGAAGTTGGCTGGCCAGAGGAAAGAGGTGGTCAACAAAGTTAAGACCAACAAGCCTTGTATAAACTATGGGAAGCCTGTGTGTCCTTCCCTCATTACACTCACTCAGGGAGGTAACTTTGCTTATAGAAGATGCTGCAAGGGTCTTGTTGATCCCATATGATAGATGAGGAAACACAGGGACTGTATTGAAGGAATCTTGCATTCAGAGGCAGAAAGCTCAGCTCTCTAGCTCTATTGTCAAAACCATGTTTGGTAAAAGCTAGGCCTTGCCTTCAACCATGCTGTTTTAGTATTTCCAAAAAAGGGAAGACCAAACCCACCCCAACTAAAAATGAAAACAAAAACAGCTTTAATTACTATCTTTTCTTCCTTCTTTTTTTGTTTTGTTTTGTTCTCCAGCCAGAAAACATTATGTTGTTAGACAAGAATATTCCCATTCCTCACATCAAACTGATTGACTTTGGCCTGGCTCATGAAATAGAAGATGGAGTTGAATTTAAGAACATTTTTGGGACACCAGAATTTGTTGGTGAGTTCTGGGACTGTTTTTCTCTCAGCTAAGAATTTGGCTTTGTGGCTGAGAAGATATTTCAGACCTGAGTTCAACCTTCAGAATCTATGCAAGAAACCTGGGTGTGGCCATTTATACTTTTAGTCCTAGAGCTAGGGAGGCAGACTTCTGGATCCCAGGATCTCACTAGCCAGTCAGACTAGCCTACTTGGAAAGTTTCAGGCAGTGAGAGATGCTATATCAAAACACGGTGTGAGCCAGGCAAGGTGGTGCACACCTTTAATCCCAGCACTCAGGAGGCAGAAGCAGGTGAATCTCTGGTCTAAATAGCAAGTTCCAGGCTAGCAGTGGCTACAGGGAAACCCTGCCTCAAAACAAGCAAGCAAACAAACAAAAAAACACAATGTGGATGGTGCATAAGGAGCCAAAGGTTGTCCTCTGGCCTGTATATATGCATGTACATGTATACACATAGAATCTGGCATCAGAAGGGAGTGAAATCCTTAGAACAATCCCCTTGTCTGGGCTGAAAGATTGATGCCTTGGGTTATCCACTAGAAACCTAAAGGGTTGGGAAGGAAGTGTCTTTTCTAGGCCCTCAGAGAGAGAATAGGAGTGGGCTTTGAGTGCCTGGTGAGTGCAGCTAAACCTTCCCATAGGTGGTCCCACCTCTTGCTCTTAGAGTTTATTGTGTAGATTTAAAATCATATCCCCATACACTGATTCCCTTCTCCAACGTAGCTTCTGATTTCCTAAAAAGGAAAAAGGTGGTTGGTTATCTACCAGGTGCCAAATTCACCCACCTGCCTCTCCTGTGAGCCTGGCATTTACACACATACCAAAGCACCCAGGGGGCCCTAGCCTTTCTCTTTTTTTTTTCTATTTTCTGATTCTTCCCTGTGTCTTTCACCCTTTGCTCAGGACCTACACTCCAGAAATCCCTTTTTGGGAATTGGGATAGAAGTTGGGGATCATGAGAAAATAGTTCTGCAGAGAATAAAGAAATGAGAGTTTAACATCACCACCTATCTCTCTTCTTTGGGAGTGAGATATGGAGAGAGTGGTCTCCTCAAAAGGCAGCTTTCTTCTTTTCTTCATGAGGTTCCTTATTCCAGGACAACATGGATATATAAGTAATACCGTGTCTCAAAAAACAAACAAAAAAAAAAACAGGCAAATGCTAATACAGCGTTAAGAAATCGGTATAGTGATTTGAGAGATGATTCAGTGATTAAGAGCATGTACTGCTCTTGCAGAGGACCTGAATTCAGTTCCCAGGACCCACATCTGATGACTTACAACAGCCTGTAATGCCATTTACAGGGGATTCAATGCCCCCTTCTAAACTCTGTAGACACATTCATATCACACATACCAAAACACATGTATACATATAATTAGTTTTAAGTTCAGTATATTGTCATATGGCGCAGCCTGTCCTGAGCTAGTACTTCAGCAAAATACAATGAAAATACCTAGGGCTGGGGAAATGGTTCAGCGGGTAAAGCATCTGCCATGTATGTGTGACCTGAGTTTGAATCTCCAGAACCCAGATAAAACCAGGCACAGTAGTGGGCATCAATAAATCCAGTGCTCCTATAGTGAGATGAGAGCTGGAGACAGGAGTATCCTCAGAGGCTCATGGGCCAGCTAGCCTGGTGTATGCAGCCATGAACAACAGGAGAAGGTGGATCAAACAAATGGAAGACAGAGGTTGTCTTCTGATATCCACACATGCCATGGCATGGGCATGCCTACATTCCCACATAAACACACACATGTATAAAACAATAAAAATGAAGGTTGTTAGCCCCCATGTGGGTGCTGGGAATCAAACCAGTTTCTTTGCAAGATCAGTCAGTGCTCTTAACCGCTGAGCCCAGCTCACCATGATTTTCTTTTTCAAGGTTGTTTGTTAGACACTAATTTTTCATAGGGATAAATAAAACTATAAAGAACATATTTTTTTAGAAACTTGTATTTATATAAATTTGTTTTAGCTTTGTTCCTAGTTTTTTTTTTTTCCATAACTGTTTAGGGAACTTTTTTTAACTTTAAAAAATAAACTTTATTGAGAATTTCATACATGCATATAAGGTGTTTTGATCAAATCCAAGCCCGTTCTCTCCCCTCCAACATGTCACACATTTCCCCATCACTTTTTTTCTGACAACTTCATGTAGTCTTTCTCTTTTATTCTGCTTTAACGTTTTATGGGGCTTTTGGATACTTTAACATCCCCCCCTTTCTTTTTTAATGGGATCTTATGCTACTCTAGCATCCCCTCCCCCTGAAGAGGGATTAGATAATCTTTTAGGGATTAGATAATAGCTTCCAAATACTTTTGACATTTTTTGGCTTTTGGAACAGACTATGTTGCTAAAAGGCCCAAGGATATTTTGACTTTTAGCCAGGATACTGGCTACTTTTCTTTGGAGTCTTTTTCTCCTAGCTGCCTAGCCAAGTCCTACCTCCTATTATTATCACACTATCCTCTGAAGAAGTTACCCAGATTTCTGGTGGTGAATCGGGACACAGACCACTCTGGTTTCTTCCATGCTGAACAGGGATGCAGGATGAAGCAAGTGGGGTATCCCTTCAGTGGATCTATCTAAAGGACTCCCAGATTGCATAACTCTTAACTGTAGGGAGAAAAGAAAGCCCTTGACTGGTGCCTAGGAGATGTGAAGGAGAAGTAAAGGCAAGAGTAATTAGCATTACAAGTTCTAGACAGGGAACCAGAAAAAAAAGTCAAAACGGGGCAAATTTCAAATGTTCTTATCAAAGTCCATTGGAATGTCTTGACAAGAACGTCCAAAAGCATCCCTCTATTGGGTTCCTCCTCATTTCCCTTTTGTCTGCAAAGGCTGGACTCTAGAGTGATGGACTCAGGATTTGTTTCCAGGCACTTTGATAGCTGTTACAGTGGATAGAATCAGTGTCAGTTCCCTTACAAAGGCTTCTAGGTAGGGGGAGAAAACAAATTTAGCCATCATTTTAGAACAATAGTGGATAATCTCCCTTAGCTCTAAGTGGGCACTACAGTATTGCAGACCAAGAGTTGAAGTCTTACATCTCAGTAGCACTTTCTGCTTAGAAACAAACTCATCCATGAGAAATAATTGTTTAAATAACATTTTTATATGGACTTAAGCCTAATGTCTGGGAAATTAGCTCAATGTCTTGAACTCTTAAAGAAATCTACTGATCACTTTATTCTTTGGTTATACTTTCCTTTTGGGTGTTTAAGACCATACTGTTGGCCCAAATAAACGATTTTATTTTTACTCTTCAGGTTGTTGGGGGATCTGTTCCTCAGGGGTCACGTGGGCTTAGGAGGAACCCTCTCCATAACTCCAGTTCCAGGGTATCTAACATCCTCTTCTGACCTCTGCAGGCACTGCGTGACACAGGTGCATCTACCTACGTGCAGGCAATACACTCATGCACATAAAAATAAAAATTTTTAAAAAGTAATAAAATATTTTTAAAGGTAGTCATGGTGACTATATATGGGAAAATTCTCACTATCTATTGTTAATTGACCAAAACAATTTGTAACATCTTGAAAAAAAGGTTTTCTTTAACAATGAAAAGTTATCACTAAAAGAAAAAAAAAAAAAAGAAATGACTTCATTGAGTTGTTGGGAGGCTCAAATAAGGTATCATATTTAACCATATGGAGGGGCTAGAGAGATGATGGCACAGCAGTTAGGAGCACTGGCTATTCTTACAGAGGACCTGGGTTCAGTTGCCAGCACCCATGCAGCAGCTATCAGCTGTCCATAACTCCAGTTCCAGGGGATCTGAGGTCCTCCCTCTTCCAGCCTCTGTAGACACTGCATTCACTTATATACATGTAGGCAAAACATTCTTACACATAAACTACAAATAAATTTTAAAAAGTTTAAATTAACTGTATGGTATGGATTTAACCTATCCAGATAAAGGATAAAGAAATGTGATGTATATACACACAGTAGAGTATTATTCAACCATAAAGGGGAACATAATTGTATCATATAAAGGAAAATGGAACTAGAGATCATGATAAAATTAGCCAAACTCACCAAGGCAAATCTCCCGTGTTCTCCCTCATATGCAGAAGCTAAATTCAGAAAAACAGAAAGGGAACTATTAGAGAGGGGGGAAGGAATAGTAGAGAGGAGAGAAGGGAAAATGATCAACATACGATTTGCATATGTGAAAATGTCAAAATAAAGCCCACTATTTTGTGCAATTAGTAAATGCTAATAAAGTGCTTTTTAATTTTAAAAAAGTGATAAAAATGAAAATAAATTCCTAGAGAATGGATGTCAGATTGCTATATAAGAGTATCTAACTTGGGGCTGGGCCTGCTGGCACATCTATAATCCCAGTACTTGTGAGGTGAAGGCAGAGAAGCTAAAGTTCAAGGTCATTATCAGCTACATGGGGAGTTTGAGTCCATCCTGGGCTACAGAAGATGGTATCTCAAAGACAAAACAGATGTCTCTGACTCAAGAATCTGAAACAGGAAGATTGGGAGTTGAAGGCTAGCATGGACTGTATAGTGAGACCTTGGATCCTGACTTTAAATTTAAAAGGAATCTCTAAATATATACTTTCAAGTTCTATACCTATCTTATTTAATAGATATTTAATAGATTTAATTAAATAGCATTTAATAGATTATTTGTGGACCACACTTAATTTGAATATCACCTTTGTAAAACATAAAACACATTCATTTGCTTATCAGCAGACATGAAAAAAGTTCATAGCAATATCATTCCAATAATGAAATAAACAGAGACCATCCCAAAAGATCTCTGAGAGGAGAATGGTTGGATATTAACAGATGTGCCACAGAAAATGGACTATTGCATAGCAATGAAAAGGGAAGACCATGGATGAATGTTCGTTCAGTAAGCACTAGAAGCAAGTGGAAACAATCAAGACATAGAATAGCAAATGTAGCCTGGAACCATTTTTATAAAGCTAAAAAATAATCAAAGCCAGTGTAGTAAGTAGTATCCTGTATCTTGAAGTAGGGGAGATAGGAGAGAGGGACAACAGATATACTGTGTAGATACTTTTTTTTATAAATAAACTCATCCCTTCCTACTCTCTGCCTTTTCCATGAGCAGTTATCAGGTCTCCATCCTTCCTCTTTCTTAAGGTACCACTCTTTCTTTTGCCTCCATTTCATCACCACCTTTGTAAATGTCATGAACACAGTGAGCACGAGGTTCAATACTGGCTCTCCAGGACTTATGTGTTGTCTGGGCAGCATGCATTCCTTTTGTCTCTGGTAGAGTCTTCTCTCTTATTCACCTTCTCCCAGTCACCTACCATATCTTTGGCTCAGTTCCTGTTTTCATCTGTGCATCAATGGCTCCAAATTGCATAGCTCTGGCCACTCCCTTATAGCCAACTGCCCCCTGAACTTCTTTGACTATCTTTCAGGCTTATCATCTCATCTGAGTGACCCCAAAGATGCTCTTTGACCCTCAGGTGGAAGTCACTTATTACAGACCAAACTAATGTAGTCCTGCTCTGCCTTCTTCCCATTACCTTCCAGCATGAATCTGTCTGGATACTCTGTCTACCAGAGAGTTCCTCACAGTGGACTTTGTCACTAGGCCTTCATTTCTTCTTCCTGCACCTTCATCTTCCCACATTTCTCCTCCTTTTGGGGTGCTCCTGGGTACTTCCCTTCTCCCTTACTATCAAGGCTTTGTCTATAAAAGGTTTTTGTTGGTTTTGCAGCTAGCTTATGTCTTACCCTGTCTAAGCTACTATAACCAAACACCTTAGACTGAACACTTTATAAACAACAGAAATGTGGTGTTTGGAGTTCTAGAGATTGAGAAGTCCAAGATGCTTTGCCAGCAGATTTAGTATCTGGTGAACAATCTCCACATAGTTCAGTATCTCCCTGAGCCCTCACCCAGCAAGAGTGAACAAGTTCCCTGGGGTCTTTTATGAGAGCCTGAGTCTCAGTTAAAGTCCCCATCTCTTATATTGTTTCCCTGGGAATTAGGTCTCAATATTTGGCCTCTGTAGAAAAACACTTAGCCCATAGTAACTTCTTTCCTCGAAATTCTTGCATCCAGGTTATTTCTATCTGCTGTTTGGATATTCTTTCCTCCATATTGGAGATTCAGGATAGAGACATTTGGCACCAAATTTCCTAGAATTCCCCACATCCACCTCCTCTCATACCTGACTCCTCTTGACTCATAAACATGACTTCTTTCAGCTCCAGAAATTGTGAACTATGAGCCACTGGGCCTGGAGACTGACATGTGGTAAGTGGTAGCCTAGAGGTCCTTCCAAGAACAGAAGGCTTCAGATCCTTCTTCATGATATCCTCTTGAGTATATAAACCCCTTTATCTACACTTGTATTTCCTGTTCTCCTAGACTGCAGTGCTCTGGGTGTACTGGACCTGCTATGGGGACATGAGGAGACAATGAGGCCTGGATCCAAGTCCAGTTAGAGCTTTATCAGCAGGGGAGGGGTGAGGCAAGTACAGACTCATCCTGGGCCAGCTATAACTGTAGTCTAGTTAACAGTTACATTAGCTCCATCAGTCAATCCACTAAGTGTTCCACAGGGGCTTCCCATGTCTGGGGCACTGTATTGGCCTAGCAGTGCTACTGTCAATACTTTACATAGTCGGGACTTGTTTTATCTGAACACTGCTTTATAGTTGACCCTGCTCCTTCATGACCTGGTTCTCTAAAATCCTACCAGCACTCCCATGAGGTTTTTCTTATTATTTTCATTTTATAAAGGAAAGGAGGCTCAATGATTAAGAGAGATGCCTAAATGGCATCTCTTGAAAATGCAGAAGTCAGATCTTGAACTTGGGTCCTTACCTGAATGGGCAGAGAGTGCTGATTCCAAATGCAACCCAGGATGCTGCTACAGCGTGGGATGGAGAGGAGTGGGGCTTGAGTCGGCTTCCAAGGGCCATCTAGGAGAACAAGGGACTTCTTGTTCTAAGGACCACTTGGGGAGCTCCTTGAGGGTTTTAGATTGGAACCACACAGCTCTAATATGATTCTTCTTTGCAGGAGCATCGGTGTCATCACCTACATCCTGTGAGTATCTTCAACCCCAGGCTGCAGTCCCACTTATATCAAGAGGATGAGAGATGGGCAAGAAGCCAGATGGTCTGACATTTATCTAATATCCATCATCAGCCAGATGTGTTTAGTCCATAAGGCACACCTGAAGGGAGTGTACTCTAAGCTCTCTTAATCTCAAAGATTAAGAGACTTGCCTAAATGGCATCTTTTGAAAATGCAGAAGTCAGATCTTGAACTTGGATCCTTACCTGAATGGGCAGAGAGTGCTGATTCCAGATGCAGCCCTCCCTCCTACACAGCCCATGTCTAAATTTCTGTGTGAAAGGCTAGGACTTCCCTACTTAGTCTCACATAGACCAGACAGTTTCACTCTGACATTGTATTTCACAGAGTCCTTAAGGCAGCCTTGAAGGTACCTGTGCCCACCCTGTCCTGCTTCTTCATCATCTCCTTTCTTCACATCATTTCCCCAGGTTCCTCTTCCTCACATGCTCTCTTCTTTCTTTTTCCCCTTTCTTGTCCCCATGTATCCAATGGCTTAAGCAGAGATTTCCTGCATAGTTCTTTTGTGGATTAGGTTTCAACCCTAGGGAGTAAACCAGTGCTGCCCCCTTTCAGTCTGTGTGACTGTGGGCAGGTACTTAACCTTTGGGCCCAATTTTTTAATCAGAAAAATATAAATTACAAACTTCCAGCAATAGGAAGTGGAGCATGAATAAGCTACCATGTACAAGCCTTCTAGGCCCTACTCTGACATATACACAGCAGGTGAGTAGGTATCCAGACCCTCTACTTCCCAGCTCTTTTCCCCTTAGAGCCCACATGGAAAATGCTATTTTCATGACATGCCAGAGTAATTGTAACCTCATAGCCACCAGGACAGAAGGGTGCCAATGTTCCACAGTTGAGGGATTGTTCTCAGCTGTATGAGGTGGGAGAGCTGTACAACCACATTATGAATTCTCCAGCTGCAACAGAGGCCCTCAACCCTGGCTGCACAGTAAAGCTCAGTGATTCAGGCCCCACCCCAGATCCATTAAGTTAGAACTGCTAGGGACCAATGTCTTTTATATTTTTTTTATTTTTTTAAATTATTTATTTTTATTTTATATGTGTGAGTGTATTGCCTGCATGTATGTAAGTACATCCATGTCATGCAATGCCCACAGAGGTCAGAAGAAGGTATTGAATCTCCTGGAATTGGAATTATGGAGTTAGCCACCATGTGGGTGCTCAGAATCAAACCCAGGCTCTCTGCAAGAGCTCTTAACTGATGAGCCAGCTCTCCAACCCCCCCCTTTTTTTTTTTTTTTTTCAATTTTGGAACAGGAGCTCCCTGTAGCTACAATGGCCTGGAACTCACTGTGTAGACCAGGCTGGCCTTGACCTCACAGAGGTCTGCCTGTCTCTGCCTCCTGAGTGATGGATTTAAAGGCATGTGCCACCATACCCAGCTCATAAGTGTCTTTTAAAAGACTCAGCTGGGTTTGATGGAAAGATAATCCTAAGAACCATTTATCTATATTTAATTTCAGAGTCAAAATTGTCATACATAGGTTCTTGGAACCTGAGTTACTTTAGCATTGTGGGTTTCATGTTAAACTATTAAGGAATTCTACAGGGTATACAGTTTTCTTATGGCTCCCTTGAACTTGAGTCAGATTTATATTTATATCTCTATTTTTAATTAACTTATTTATTTTTATTTTATGTGTATAAGTGTTTTACCTGCATGTATGTAAGTGTACTGTGTGCATTCAGTGTCCAAGGAGGCCAGAAGAAGGTGTTGGATACCCTGGAACTAGAGTTAAGGATAGGTTTTAGCCACCACATGGGTGCTGAGAACCCAGGTCCCCTGAAAAAGTAGTAAGTGCTGTTAACTGCTGAGCGATCATTCCAGACCCCATAATTTGTATTTTATTTTAAATTACTGCATTTTGTTTTAGAGACAAGATCTCATTCTATAGCCCTGGCTTATTTGATTTTGTGACACTGGGAATTGAACCTAGGGCATCAAGAATGCTAGACAAGTACTCTACCATTGAGCTATCTTAGAACTCCTGTTTTTCTTTTCCTTTTTGAGACAAAGTCTCACTGTTTCCCAGGCTTTGAACTTTCCATCTTCAGTAGCCTCCTGAGTAGCTAAGATTATAGGCCTGTGCCACAATGCCTCACTGGCACAGCTTTATTAAGAGCCTGCATCAGAGACACTGTATCAGGCATGTAGGATACTGACATGAAGGAGAGTCTGATTTGCTTGCTTTGGGCTCTGTGTCTGTGGGAGATATACCACAAAGCTGATATCACTCTATTGGAACGAGTTTACACTGGTTTGAACAGTGTCGTCTTTCAGATACAGAAAAGAGGCACTTGTATCCTGAAGCTACAGGAGGGAGGGAGGGAAGGAGGGAGGAAGGGAGAAGGGAAGGAAAGATATTTTAACTGGGGGATAGGGAATGAAGTCAGTTCTCTAGGTGAGAGAGAAGAGTCAGCTGAGGACGCAGCATAAAGAAAAGGTATGGCGGAAATATATTGAGCATATAACAGAGACCAACTTCTAATCCTATGGAAACTAGAGACTAGGAACTCATGGAGGATTATTTGTGTTTTATCAGTGACCATAATAATGACCACTAAATTCTAGAGTCATTAATATGAGCCAGGATTTTCACAAGTCATTTCATCTACTTATTTTTCTTGGGTGTTAGGAATTGAACCCAGAGACTTTGTGCATAGTAGGCAAGTAGGCAAGTGCTCTGTCACTGAGCTACATTCCCATCCCTTGATTTTTTTGAGGCAGTCTCCCTATGTAGCTCAGGCTGATCCTGAACTCGCTTCTTCCTGCCTCTGCTTTCCAACTGTTAGGATAATAGGCATGCAACCACCACACCTAACTGCCAAAGTGTTTTACATACATATATTCTTTACATCAATCAAGTGAGGTAGGGCTGTTATTTTCTTCACTTTAAGTGAGAAAGTATACCACAGAGAGGTTGAAGAACTTGCCTAGGTTTACAGAGCTAATGAGTGGCAGAAGTGAGATTCAAACTCTAAAAATCAAAGTTTTCTGGAATACCTTGCTGCCCCCTTCATGCTAGGAAACTAGCAACAGGGAAGGGAATGACTGACAAGAGATAATTGGTAAATAGAAACAATAAGCATTTTGGCAAAGTGAATGTAGCAAGGGAATAGAAAGAAAGGCCAAGGTGACTGCTGTGTTTCTAATATGGATACATTGGTAAAATTATGACAGTAATCAAGGCAGGGAGTGCATAGAGTGGGGTTCAGGCACAGTGACACCTGGGACAATGGCATATCTTGGTACCCAGTGAGCAACTGGGATTCAAGAGATGATGCTTCAAGGGGTCGTTGGATGACACGGCCTCATCAAACCCTGTGGGGATGAAGTCTTTCATACCTCCGATGGTTCAAGCTTTGTTTAAGTTGCTGCCTTAGCTCAGAAGATCTTTCTAGCACTTCTGTGACTACTGACAACCTCCTCGTTCTTCATATAACCAATGCAAACATCAACTGCCCCATGAAGCTGCCCTGTTCTTCCTTCCCTGTGCTCCCCAAGTCCTGTGTCTGGCCCTCAATTGCGTTTTATTTTATTTTGCTTAGAGATTGTGAAGAGCCAAGTCTCTGTCTTTCCTTTCCTTTCTGCTTTGAGTCCTTTGAAGACACAATCTCTTCCTCTGTCACATTACTTAGTAGGAGGTTCAGAAAGTGTTTTGAACTGGACCACATTGAAAAGCCTGCCTGCTTGATGGCCCACAGAGGGCAAGCTGGGTTACCAGGTGCCCCCTGGTGCATATGCCATAGTGCAGGCCAGAGTTCAAGTCCATTACTTCCATTTCTTTCTCCTTTCCCTTCAGTCATGTGGTTCTTTCTGTGTTGTGCTCAGCCTTAGTGGAGCATCCCCTTTCCTGGGAGACACAAAGCAGGAAACATTGGCAAATATCACAGCAGTGAGTTACAACTTTGATGAAGAATTCTTCAGCCAGACGAGTGAGCTAGCCAAAGACTTCATTCGGAAGCTTCTTGTTAAAGAGACTCGGTAAGAGGACAGAGGAAGGCACTGGTTTCTCAGGTACTAAGTCTCTCCTGTTGTCTCAGACCTCAGAGACATATCAGTCTATCCTCATTTTGCCATCTGTGCCATTGTGGTCCAATCTGAGCAGGTGCTGAGAAGTGTCACTGGCCATGACTTGGCATTCATCATTTGTCTGCTCAAGTCTTTGCACCTGCTCCTGCTGTAAATAACTCAGTGTGTATGAGCATACATATGCACATGTTTGTATGTGTATGTGTTTGGAAATCGGAGATCATTGTTTTGTATAATCTGCTTCATAGGCACCTGGGATGCAGACTCAAAAGGTAAAGTATTAGAGTTTTCAAGCCAGTGTAAGTTGGAAGTGGAGGGAAGCAGGCCCAGAGAGATCAGTTCAGCGGGAGAGAGGAGATATGCTAATCCTACTCCTGACTGAGGGCCCAGATTGAGCTTCGTGGCTGTGTGGTCAAAGGGACTGGACAAGGAATTGATGGTCAAAGGGACTGGGCAAAGAATTGTATCATAAGTTATGACTTCTCTGTGTGAGTACCCAGAGAAGGGCCTGCTTAGGTAGGGGAAAGGGCCACAGACTCTAGAAGGCTATGTCCTGTGAGTCCCACAGACTTCAGAGAGAGCTAGAGTTGGGTCCACTGACATGCAGGGCCTCTGACTTCACTATGTAAAGGCAGTGCTGAGGGTGAGGTACCTACCCATGTATAGAACAATAAAGACAGAGGGGAGACCTAGGAGACAAACAGTAAAACAAAGATCAGAGATTTGGCACTGGAGAGCTAGCTGGGTTTTGGAGGTTTGGGGAACTCAATAGAGGGTAGCAATTAGGCCTTTCAACTTTAGAACTGAAGGTGAGGGCTTGGGTAGTAAGGTCTCTGTCGAGGTTTTTGTCTGGACCACTTGCCCTAGAGTATAGAAAATACAGTCAGTTCCCAGCCATCTCTACATCTTCCTCTATACTACTTTGATGATATAATCAAAGAATGCCAAAAAAAAAAAAAAAAAGTGAGACACAGACTACTGTTCCCAACATCTTTGCTCAAGGATCATGTTATCTAATCCTTGTTGCAGGAAACGGCTCACCATCCAAGAGGCTCTCAGACATCCCTGGATCATGGTAAGGGCATGGGAATGAATTCTAGTGTGCAGGAGGTCCCTATTCTGTCACAAGGGCTGGCTGTGGCAGTCAGATACATAGGGCTGTTGAGGATCCTTTGCTTGACCTTTAGGCATTGCTGATATCTGGCCCTAAATGGCCTGAACATATTCAAATAGGGTTATGTGGCTCAGTATTTAGAACACTTGCCTAGCATGCATGAGGCTGTGAGTTCCATCCCCAGAACTACAAAAACAAAAATAAATAAAATAGGGTTATGCTACCTTAACTTTGTATTTCATGAATTCAGAGAGCTGATGAAATCCTCATAGACCTCAACTGAGACTCTTTCTTTGGAGTCCTCTTAAAAAATATTCTTTGTTGAAGGACAGGTCACTCTTACTTTTCACAGCAGAAATGAGGTTATAGATATATCTTGGACCATTAAAAACCTTGACTTTGTAACCAGGGCTCTCCTTTCTGACTTCTGGGGCTCTGTCTAAAGGATAAAATGCAAGTCATTTATGACGCTTCAGTGGGTACCATGCATCCTCAGGAACAGAGTCCTAAAACAGAGGCCTGGTGGAAAAGAGAGGCCGTCACTGTTTGCTCTTGAAGGATCAGGGCAAGAAAAGTGAATCTCTGCCTAATTCTCCTTGTAGTGTCCAACCACTGTTTTTTCAGAGTCTTGTAGTCCAGTATAGAGAATGCACATTAGGAAGGGAAGAGAAGAGACTTAGAGCAAGTTTCTGGCCCTAGTTCTGGGGGCTAACTAGCTGAACACTCCCCAGACTACCCATTCACCTATGTTGTTTGATGAGGAGGCCTGTAAGGATTCTCTAAGTGCAGATAAGAAGGGTGAGGAGCCAGGTGTGGTGGTACATACCTTTAGTCCCAGCACTCAGAAGACAAAGGCAGGCTGATCTCTGTGAGATTGAGGCTAGCCTGGTCTACATAAGAAATTCCAGAATAACTAGGGCTACAGACATACCCTGTCTCAAAAAAAGTAGGGGGTAGAGGTCTATGGATAGTAAAGAAATTCATTTATTGCCTGAAGGTTGGGAAAAACTGATGAATTCCAGATACAGATACTCGCAGAATCCAAAGCTAGAAAGCCTCTTGGGCTTCTTCCTGCTGAGTATGCTGATCATTGCCAAGACTACGGGAGACCTGAATGACAGATGCCCCTACTCTCTCTCTCTGCCAGCCATGGCCTGCATGCTCCAGCCTTTGAGTAGATATTTGCAGAGCCCTGACTATAGCATGCTTGTCTGTGTGAGCCTACCCCCACCCCTTAAATGCTATATTTGTGGAGATCCTCTCTAATGGCCATGGACCCGCTCTACCCTGAAATCAGCATGCAGACAACACCCCAACACCCCTTGATGTTTCTTTTGACCCATGGGGGTATTTTCCCAGTCTGGCTCTCCCCACCATGTCTTGGCATGCAGTGAATGCCAAAGAGGCTATGTGTGTGCCTTTTTTGCCTGGAGCTTGGACTGCCCCATGGAGCACATAGCATGTTAATATTCTGATTTCTTCTGTCTGAACACCTGTCAGTCAAAAGGAGAAATCAGAAGCCCTGAACAGCTGAAGACACAGCCTTCCCAGCTGAAGACCAAACGCCTGAGAGAGTATACCCTCAAATGCCACTCAAGCATGCCCCCCAACAACACCTATATCAACTTTGAGCGTTTTGCCCAAGTGATAGAGAATGTGGCTCAGGTGGACCAGGGATGCCATGCCTTAGCAAGAGCCCGTGATACCCTTGAGGATGATGTGGAAGCCCTGGTCTCAATCTACAATGAGAAGGAGGCCTGGTACAGAGAGGAAAATGAGAATGTTCAGTCTGACCTGTCCCAGCGCAAGTATGAGTTCCACAAAGTGGAGTCCATGAAGAAGTTCTTGCGAGAAGATATCCAGGCCACAGGGGCCAGCCTTGGAATCATGGCCAGGAAGTTAGACCATCTGCAGGTGCAATTTGAGGCTCTGAAGCAGGAGCTCTCAACAGACTTAAAGTGGATGCAGGAACTAGTGGGCAGCTTCCACCTGGAGAGTTGGAACACAGATGGCCTGGACCCAGGCTCCATGTTTCACCAGAACACCAATGAATCCCTATCGGAGCTGCTAACAGATCATGCACAGAGGAAATCCTGGCCAGCTTGAAGCTCAGAGCACCAGAATCTAGTCAGTAGAATATCCACTACTGTAGTAGTGTGCTGTCTTCTACTCTGTCATGGCATCCAACTAGAATTATCTCACAGGGTGTGTGTAGTGCAGCCTTCTACTCCTTCCTGAGACTCCCCAGTCACTGAGGTGAACTTTGCATCTCCCTCACCAGTCTGGGTTTCTGAGGGGATACTGACAATGCAGCTGAGCTGTTGGCACAATTAGAGAATATAGACCCGCTCACCATGCCCTTCTCCCACTGGTCCCTAGATGTTTGATAACTGATTAATGATGATGGATTGGCTCACTTCTCACTTTCCACCTACATGTGTCTTATGAGAGCAGATCTTGGGTAATAGTTGAGTTAACTAAGGATAACTAGATCAACATGGGGCTTTCCTGTTACAGAACTGGAGCTTTTAAAGGTACAGAGAAAATACTAACTTTCATTTGAATTGTCTTCTTGCTTATCAAGTCTTTCAGTCTGTGACCTCACTGATCCCTAAAAAGCTCTGTGAGATGAAGAACTGGAGATGTAGTTCAGTTTTTAGTGTGCTTGCCTAGTATGCATGGAGTCCTGGATTTGATCCCCAGCACAGCATAAATTGGGCTTGGTTTATATACCTACACTCCTGAGAGGAAGAGGCAGGAAGATCAAGAGTTCAAGATTATCCCTGGCTAGATCAGAGTTCCAGGCCAGCCTAGGATATATGAGACCCTGTCTCAAAAAAGAAGGTAGATGACAATATTATTATTATTAATTTCCCTGTAACTGATGAAGAAATTGACTCAGAGAGAATATGACTTAGGATCATTAATAACCAGTTGGTACAGATGAAAGGGAAACCAGAGTGCCCATTGTTGAGGTGAGGTATAAGGAAGGAAGTTTAGTGAAGCTCAGCTATAAATATCCACTTTAATATTTAAATTCAGATCCCAGAGGCCAAATAAGTAACTTCATGTATTTTACCAAGTATAGGTAAAACATGCCCACCTACAGATGGTTGTTCCAGGAGCTGTGCTCAGAAGGTGTAACTACTTTTTCTAATAAGCCTCCTCCCTGTCTGAAGATTACCCTGCAGAGCAAGAACAGAGCATCTCCATTCTCATCAACCCTTTCCCCTCTAGCTTTTGACTAGAGGTTCCAACTTTATGTTGAGAATGAAGACCAAAAGACACTTGTCAAGGAGATATCTATTCGTATGGGCTAGACCAGTTGGCCCTGAAGATCTGAGAAATTTCATGAGAGTTTTGAGAAGCACAAGACTCATTGGTCTCTTCAGGCCCTAATCATCCTTTCTGAGGACTATGTGATCTCATCGCTCTTCCCTAGGAGGAAGGTCAACCAATATCGTCTATACATAGCATATGGAATATATCCCAGCTAGAAGCTTGGGATGATATAGTGCCTCCATGATGATATGATAAAATGCCTCCATGACCTCATAAAATATCCATCCATATTTGCATTAAATGTTATTCCCAGGTTAGAGATGAGGAAACAGACAAGGAATGAGAAATGCCCTGCATTACATCATTAGTGATAAAAGTGGGAGCCTCTAATGAGAACTCTATAGATCTTTCTATTTCCCATAACTACTTAGGCTCTAGGAATTTACTTTCTGCCTGTGGAGATAGGTGGTCCCCAAGTTCATCCATCCATTCACACATAGCAGGCACCTACCAATATTTAGATACTTGGCTTGAGTCTGGGGATACAAAATCGAATAAAAACAAGCCTATTTCCTGCTTCCTTGGAGTTCTCAGTCTCATGATAGATTCTAGCATCAAACAAGAATTATATGCATGTAAAACAATATCTGGTTCCTATGCAATGAAAGAAGCAGGCAGCACCACAAGACCTGCAGTGTGAGGTTTGATCTGCTCAGGGGAGGTGTCCCTGTACAGACCATACTGGGGTTCAGATCAGCTAAGCAAACCAGGGAGAGTGGTAGGGCCATCATCCCAGGCCTCTGTGATGAAAGGAGAGTGGAAAGTTAGCAGTGCAAGATTGAAAAAAAGCTAAAAAAAGGAGAGGATGGGAGACATGTCTTGGGAGAAACAAGACCACCAGGACTTTGGCCATGTTAGAGAGCTTTGCCTTTGTTCCCAGAGTCATGGGAAGCTACTAATAATGAGTCCTGGGCTAGTGCTGGGGAGGAAATGCCCAATGGACAGCATAGACTGGAAGTGGTTTAGGATAATACATGAGATTTTGATCTCATGAAGCCATTGTTCAGATTGCTGGTTTTTTTTATTATTATTAGCAAGCTGGATCATTTAAAATATCACATATAATAGCAATAGAAATTATTTCACTCAAATATAAAAAAAATCATGATTATAAGATGCATCATTATTTTTATGGACCGTTGAGAAAGAAAACAAATTCCAGCATGGGCAGTTAACTAGGCAATACCCTACTATACAAAGCTGTGATGGCCTCAAATGAGAGGGCAAATGAGAAACAGAGCCACCATGCAGAAGAGAGAGCAGGAAACACACCTGTCTCAACCTTGACCCTAGGTGGTGGTGAAAAACTGCAAATAGGTGACCTATCTTGCAGCTTTGTTCTTTGAGTTTGTGCTCCATCAGAGTAATACAGAAAAACTTCAAGCAGGGACTGCTGTGCCTCACAGTCAAAGGTTGAATGACCCTACATGGCTGGCCAAAACACTGAGTTCTTTTCCAGAGCACCTGCTACACTCTAGGCCCACAGTAGTTAAATGTCACCATTGATTGGAAGATGGTTCCTGACGTCTTAGGTCTAAAAATGCACATCCTGGAATCAAGGAAAGATGGCAGAGCTCTGTTCCTGTGCTGTACCAGAGAAAACTGAAGCAAATAACCTCTGTAATCTCCTCAAAGTTTTATATGCCCTGTCACAGGACATTGCATATTTGTTTGGTACAACACTGCAGATATTAACGTTCCTTTTGGTCATGTCATCAGGCCTTGATCTTCACATCCAAGTTTCCTAAGGAGAGGAAGGCCACAAATGGAGTGATACAGGATGAACTTTTCTATGAAGGAGAAGATTTTAAAAAAATTAAAATGGGGGGCTGGAGAGATGGCTCAGTGGTTAAGAACACTGGTTTTTCTTGCAGAAGACCCAGGTTTGAATCTCAGCACCCACATGGCAGCTAACAACTGTCCATAACTCCAGTCCCAGGGGATCCAACAGTCTCTTCTGACCTCTGTGGGCATTGCATGACATGGGTGCACTTATCTACATGCAGGTGGTACATGCATACAAATAAAATAAAAATAATAAATAAAATTTTAAAAAATACATTTTGAATATAAAAATTTAAATGGTGTGATGATTTAAATTAGAGAGATTGGGAGGGAGAGATGGCTATCCTGGATTTGTAGAATCAGCTACCCTGTTCATGCTGGGAGGATCCTCAGATCCTGAGATCCCATTTATAGGACAGGACTTATGGTCAGCCTCTGAGTTAGGCTCAGAACCATAAGAAGTTCTCTTCACAGCAGTGGAACTGTCCAGTCATTACTGACCATATCTCCTTTAGATGTTTCATAAACAGACCCTTAACTGTTCAAAAACTAGCCAAAGACTAAGTGAATTGGGAAATGTGCCCCGAGTTTTTCTGTGAACTCAGAGAAGACTATGAACATCCTATGTCACCTGCCAGTCTAACTCCCTTCTACTAAGGCATCGTATCACAACTTGATGCCAACAGGAGCCCAAGGAGGCCCATGAAATAAATGCAATCAGTGGACCTGTTTGCTCCCTATTAACTCTCTGCTGATATTTTAATACCCACATGGAGGGCAAGGCTAGCATGGCAGGATAGGGTATAGGAAATAAAGTGCTTCCTTGGGACCAAGAGGAAGGAAGCCAGGAGCAGTGCACTGCTCCAGAAAAGGCCCCTCTGCCATCTTGGAAGATTTTGAGTGTAGAGGGGCTAGTATTTGTGGGTGTTGGGTGCACCTATGTGTGCAGGTATATGTGCATGTATGTGTGCATGAGGAGGCCAAAGGTCAACCTCAGTTGTCATTCTTCAGTAGTCTACCTTGTTTTGTGTGTGTGTGTGTGTGACAGGGGCTCTCACTGGGACCTGGGGATCGCCAATTAGGCCAGGCTGGCTGAGGCTCGGGGATTTGTCTCTCTCACCCTCCCAAGCACTAGGAATACAAGAGCACACCACAACACCTGGCCTTGGGAGATCAAACTCAGGTCCTCATGCTTGTATAGCAAGAATTTTGCTAACTGAACCATCTCCCTAGCCCTCATGGAAAACTTTTAATTCACCATAATTTAAAATATTTTTTTTAATTTTATGTGGATGGGTGTATTGCCTACATGTATATAAGTGCACCCATATGATGCAGTGCCTGCAGAGGTCATAAGAGGATGTCAGGTTCCCCTGGAATGGAGTTATGGATGGTTGTTAGCCGCCATGTGGGTGCTGGGAATTGAACTCAGGTCCTCCGCAAGAGCAGCTAGTGCTCTTAACCACTGAGCCATCTCTTCAGCCCCAGGATAAGGTTTTGATTTGGTTTGGTTTTTGGTTTTTTGAGATGGGGTCCCCTTGTTTCTGCTGGCCTAGAATTCACTATAGACCAGACTGGCCCTGAACTTACAGAGATCTTCCTGCCTTTGTCTCCCACATGCTGGGATTCAAGGCTTGTGCCGCTACTTCCAGCTCTAATTCAGCAGAATTTAAATGAAAGCTTGGCATCATGCTCAATTCAAACACTATCCCAAGACTGTCAGGAGGGCAAGTAGAGTGTGACACCTCCCTGAAAAATAGTTCCTAAAAAAAAACTGGAAGGTGGGTCTTTGGGCAGGCAGCAGCTGCCTTACCCCAAGGCAAATGCTACAGCCATGTCTGTCCAGTTTGTGTTAGAAAGGTTGGTCATGGTTTGGTAGTGGATAATTTCACAGATGGTGAAGGCTAACAATGAAAGGATAGAACAGAATAAAATAGCTGGGCATGGTCACACTTGCTTTTAATCCCAGCACTTGGGAGGTAGAGGTAGGTGGACCTCTATGAGTTCAAGGCCAGCCTGGTCCCCATAGCGAGTTCCAGGCCAGCTGGAGCTACAGGGAGGTCCTGTCTCAAAATAAAAATAAATAAATAAATAAAATAAAATAAATCACGACAGGAAAAGCCAGAGACTCCTCCTCAGCCTCCCCTCCTACAGGTAATGGTAGCATCTCACACCACCAGTTGGAGGTGACTGTGTGCCCACCACCCCTCTCTTCTGTAACTGTCTATAGAACTGAATTCCTTTTCTCCTTTGTGAAATTCTTGGCCTTTGGATAAGATCCTTTTCCCTGGAAAGAACTAGAAGTAGGCATATTAGAGTTGCAGAGGGAGGTCAGTTCAGCTAAGCAAACACTGATTGTGCTCTGGTTCTTGGGGGAGGTGACAGATAAGTACATGACCACCCCTGAATAAGAGACTCAGTATCAGGCAAATGGGACCCAATCAACTGAGAGGTGAGAAAGCTTTTGGTAAGTGATAAATTTGATGTATAAGACACAGCTGAGATGAATTCTGAGTCAGATAGTACAGGAAAGTCATCAGAGAGCTAAGGAGGTCTCTGGCACCCACCCTTTCATGGAGACACTGGCTACTTACTGTATTAGGAAGAAGGTACTAAAGATAATTTGGAGGGATCGTGATGAACCCAGATTGGGTTAGAAACTTGGGATTAAGTGAAGGATAAGAGAGGGTGATTACAGAGATTAAAAAGAGGGTCTTTTTGTTTTTGTTTCTGTTTTTAATTTTTGTAGTTTGTTTATGGAAAATGCTAGAAACTAACATAAAAGTACAGAAAATAATGTGGTGAATTCTTTGTGTCATTACCCTGCATCCACAAGAGTCAAGTCCTGACTAGGCCTCTTTCACTCATTTCTTATTCTAACTTGTTTTGAAGTACTTTAAAGCAAACTTCAGATGTAGTCAACTCATAAATTCCATTTTTGAGGAGTTGGGGCTCTTTATAAGAAAGGGTCACCATGCTGCCCTGGAACTTACTATGTAGACCAGGCTGGCCTTGATCTCACAGAGATCAGCCTACCTCTGCCTTCCAAGTACTGGGACTAAAGGTGTGTTCCACCATACCCAGCTAATAAATTCCATTTTTGAGATGTCTTGCTATGTAGTCCAGTCTTAGCTTCAAAATTCTCCTGCCGCCTGAGTACTAATATGATGATAGGTGTGTACCACCATGCCTGGCAGGACTTTGTGTGTGTGTGTGTGTTCCTGTGTGTATACACACAATGTGCACATGTATGACTATGTATGTCAGAAGACAACCTCAGATGTCCTTTCTCAGGTGCCTTCCACTTTTTGTTTGAGACGGTATCTCATTCACCTGGAACTTCACCAAGTAGGCCAGGCTAGCTGGCCTTCAAACATCCAAGGATCCACCTGCCTCTACCACCCATCTCACCATTACTGGGATTGCAAGTGCATGTCCCGGTGCCCAGCTTTTTATGTGGGGTCGGGGATTGACCTCAGGGATTCATGCTTGTGAGGTAAATGCTTTAGTTACTCAGCTATCTCCCCAGCCACCAGAACTTTCTTTTTAATATAAGTACTATGCCATCATCTTATCTGACAAACTTAGTTGTGATTCTTCTGTCCTCTCTGTAGACCTGTTCCATAGTCACATATCAAGGGTGTCCGTGACATACAGTTGATTTTTGCACATCAGGATCCAAGCATAGTTCACACATGGCATTGGTTGACATCTTTGAATTCTCTTAAGGGTACAGGAGGAAGAACTTTGGAAGGTTTTTCTTAGGGACAAAAATTGCTCAGAAAATTGAAAATCCTGGTGAAAACAGTTTTAAAAATCTCTTCATGTTTGTTTTAGAGCCTAAAAGAAAAATGAAGGTAGGCTAGGCCCAGAGAGGGACAGTTCCACTTCCTCCCCTTGGTTGGTAACTGCAGGGCTCAAGCCTTCAGGCACTCAACCTATCTGCAACTCTCCCGACCCAAGCAGAGACACCCACAAATTTCACCTATACCTTCATGGAAAAACAAGTGGTAAGGCCAGCAGGGCCTGGGTCCCTGTCATCAAAGGAGCCAGCAAAGGAGTGTAAGAGGTGCCACCTGGAGAGAGACTCAATTGAGAGTGAGGAAGACTGCCAGGCCCGGAGTGACAGTCCCTGGCAGGAAAGAGAAGTGGGTGCTCCTGGCTCTTTGTGGAGTATGAGGCTGGAAAGATGGCACAGATGGAAGTTTGAAAAAGCTATAGATTGTAGAATCTATAGCTTCTACAGAAAGCCTAGTATTTAGAGAAAAATAATCAGGTGGAGGGTGCCTGCTCTGGAATACCAGAATTCCTTTCTCAGCTCTTGGCTGTGGCTGCTTCTTCCTCTCCTTGTTCTGTGAATGTATGTCAGTGTCAACCCTAGCACACTAGCCCAGGCTATTTCAAAGACATCTGCATCCGTATAAACAAAATCTGACTCCATCCACAGGTTTCTCTCTTCTTGCCTCCCTTCTGGTATATTTTCCAAGACACCAAGCATTCCTAGGAGCCTGGTCAGAATTGCACAGGCTCCCTGGTATTACTATTGGGCCATAAGACTGAAAGATGGACACTCACTGTCCATTGTAGGGGGCACAGAAGAAGGCACATAGCCCTGATTCAGTCAAAACAGTGTCACATCCCTTCAGGGAACAGATTTCACTGTAGAATTTATCTGTCTTTCCAGGATAAGATGACAGCATCAACCTTTGGGGAGCCTCTTAGCAACCAGGAAGCCCATTGATTAGGAAAGGCCAGCCCAACCGCCTCCTCAGGTCTCATGTGGTTTTTTTGTAGCATATGGAGTAGGCCCTAGAAGTAATTGCATCACTTCCTGTTAGTGGTCCTAGGAATGAGTCCCAAAGGGACTCATTTTACATTTAGCTGGGTCACTCTGCTCTGTGGCTGGCACTGCTGAACCAGTAGCAAGTGAGGTTCTCTTTAATAGGATTCCCCTTGCCTTCATGTTGTCCTTCCAGCTATGGGAGCGGGGGGTTGGGGGGGGGGTCAGCCATATCCCTCCTTGGTGAGAGAGCCTATCAGTAAGTAGATAAGAAGTCCCTTCCCTCCCAGAGTCTACTAATCCCACTGGTTAAACTTTCCTTATGTGAGATAAATACACC